CCCCCCCCCCCCGGCAGGATTTAGTAGAAGGTTGGATCCCCTCCCATCCATTGCCCGAGGTTACGAGGAAGCTACAGTGCTTAGACACGGGTGGAGGTAGGTGCCAACCCGACACATAACGCTTAGGGGGCCCAGCTGGTGTGCATAGATAGTTAGGAAGGGTAGGTCGAGTGAGGCATATGAGTGAAGAATATAGCTTAGTTAGAGAAAGAAAAAAAAAAAACCTTCAAAAACTGACAACGAGTTTAGGAAAAAACAAGAAGGGAAGAGCATGCAGCTTCGGGCTACCAGCAGAGTCCCTGCTTGATGACATCATTTCAGAGTAGTTTTCCCTCTCCAAGTGGACTTTTCAAAGCAGACAATCTCCTGAACACATTCTGCTGTGCTTTCTGAATCTTATCGCCAAACCTCGGAAGAGAAGAAGTCTGAAAATTTGTGAAAAACAAAAACCAGAAAAATGCGGTTGCCGGAGTGCATGCACAGCCGTGCATGCCGTGCAAATCGCCCGGCTTGTTGCCTGCACGGGATGCCCTGGGCATCTAGAAACTCACAGATTTCTTTTTGCCCCCTTTTGTCACTGGTGGGGCTTTTCTGCGCCGACCTAAAGCAGCCCAAATCAGGGCTCTTTTTTGTTTGTCATTGTTGTCCATTGCGGGGAGGGAACAGGCGTATAAACAGGGCTTAAAGGGGCTTAAAAGGGGGTGCCTTAGTTTGAATTTTCATTTTCCTTTTTTATCTTTTTTTTTGGCTGGGGCTGCCCAGGACCCTGCCTGCAGTTCCTACCTGGCCGGGTGGACAAGCGTGTGTCCAGGCAGCAAATTTGTGCCCAAGCGAACAGAGAAACAACTTAAAAGAGAAGGGGGGAAAAAAAACAAAAACATTCAGGTTCAGGACATACACAGTGCTGCTGCTTGCGGAGTGTGGTTCTTGTGCCATCCTCCTCAAAGTCGATACCTCATGCGGAACAGGTAAAGAATTCTCTTGACAGCAGATGATCTCTTTGAGGTTTGAAAAGGCTGAGAGAGATTTGAACTTACCGTCTTCTTGGCGTGGTCCTGACTGACATCCTGCAGAGCCTTCTCTGGTCGCAGTGGCTGCCTATTCTGCCATGCCAGACGACGAAACGGCAGCGTACAAGAGCACCAGTCACTGGCTGATAATAGGCAGAAGCGACTGCGAAAAGAGAACATAGAAATAAGAGCCAACAAACACCAGGAGAATCTGTGTCCTGAGGGGCAAAACATCCAAAGGCAAGGTTTCTCGAGAGTCGTTCTCACAAGCTAAACTCCGCAAACACTTCCTCTCCTTGCATCATGCGCTGGTGTAAACCAGAAACGACCTTACTTAAACCACCAGTCCATCCGCCCTGTCACTGTAGATTTTTCTTGGGAATGGCTGCCGTAGCTAGATCTCCAGTGACAGGGCACAGCTTAGGTTCCGAGGGACTGGGTCAACAGGCCCATGAAAGTTCTACCTGCCGGGCTCACATCGTACGCGGACACTGCATGTGAAAACATGCCGCCTGCAAGCTCAGTCCGGTACTGTCATAATGACGGTGCTTGTGTTCGGGGGAAGTCCCGACCACAACTTGTTATGGCTGTGCCGGACCAGGAAGATAGCTTGTATACATTTGTTATCAGGGTGTGCTGCGTTTAGGGGAAGATAGCGCAATGGCGTGTGATGCCCTCTCTCTCTCTCTCTCTCTCTCTCTCTCTCTATATGATATATATATCTCTCTCTCTCTCTATATATATATATACATATATATATCGTCACAAACAGAACTGCCCGGTAAACCGTAGGCAGAGAGAGAGAAGAGGACAACAAACGAGGGGCTGTGACAAACTGTTTCGTCGGAGTTTCATATATATATCGTCACAAACAGAACTGCCCGGTAAAACCGTAGGCAGAGAGAGAGAAGAGGACAACAAACGAGGGGCTGTGACAAACTGTTTCGTCGGAGTTT